ACAGGAAGCGTCACGGTGACGGCGGAGTCAACTGTTGAGTGGGCGGGGTTAAACGTTTAACGGTCTGCAGTCAGGGGCTTCTCGATTCCCCAGAGACACTGCCGCTTTTGTCCACAGGGACCGCCAGAATCAACACAAAATGAAAGCTCCTTTCAAAGGCTTTAAATATAACTGTTGGTGTCACTCATTCCTTTATTTCTTGAGATACTAAAGAAGCATTGGCACCACAGCTCGTAATACTTAAGAATAGACCTTTTTCACACCAGCTATTATGACATTAAATATAAGGGTAAACAGAGGTGTCAAAGCCTAGAGATCAGTTTAAAGACCGAACATTATGGCAGAAGGCATTATTGATACTTTTCCCATCCATTGGTCAGTGTCAGCGAACCTACCTGCTGGAGTTAATGCTGTGGGCTTTGGGCTCCAGCCAGGGCGCATGTGGAATGGGTTCATTGTAGACGAGAGGCTGAGGGCAGTGCAGAGTCAGTGAGGGCATGTTGGGGTGGCTGTGGGAAGGCCAGAAGGCTGATGGGCTGAGGGAGGGGCACAGAGACGACGGGCTGTCATTTATTGGGGGCCTGGCATAGCTCAGCACAGACGGGCTGTAAAAGGTCAGAGGTCCATGGCCGTGGTTGTACTCATGGCTACTGTCCGTGTACGGAGAGGGGATACAGACGGTGTGGCCGTCCATGCCCAGAGGAGGGCTGTACACGGCGGGCAGGGGTCCCGGTGAGTTTGGCCTTTCTGAGGCTTTGCTGGAGTCCACCTCCTGGAGCTGAAGTAGCGGGTGAGCATCCAGCCCGGGAGAGGAGGCCATGTCAGGGAGAATCTACTGTATACGTGATGATGACTGTGATGATGCAGCTGGTTCCTCTACTGCATATTCTAGTGTAGACAAATCCTGTGGCAGAGGCAAATAAAGACTGTGTTATGGTTAAAATATTAAATCAAAATTTAAAAAAACGACAATCGACTCACAAGATCCCACAGCCACTAAGCGCCGATGGTAACTGTTGGTTGTGCATGGAATGATCTCTGGTTTAACAGGGTATTTTGTCTTCCATGCTAGGCAGTGTGGCTGTAGGGACGACTGTTGGTCCAACACTTTGTTCCAAATTGAAATATTGCAACTACTGTTGAATATATTGGGATGAATTTGGGTAAAATTCATGTTTCCCAAAGGATGAATTGCAATAATGTTTGGTGATGAAGGTCTGTCTTGTGCCATCAGATAAAAGTAAAAATGAGTCAAATACTTGGCTTTATCAACAAATACCTGCAAAACTGATGACATTCCCCTTAATCTCAGCTGTACGTATGGTTTTATGCTAACTTGAAAAGGTTAGCATTCCAACACACTTAACTAAGATGGTAAACATGCCTGGTCAAATCAGCATGTTAGCATTGTCATTGTAAACATGTTAGCCTGCTGGCATTAGCATATCATCTGTCAGGAGTGCATATGAGAAAACAGTTCAGATATTTCATGTAGACAATGAGGTGATGATTCCTACTTTTTGTGAAAATTAATTCAGTTCGTGTTTTTAAAAAAGACCAGACGTAACAAAACAAGTCCCTTTTTTATTGTTTTGCCTTAATTTGGTCTGCATCAGGCCCTCTACCAATACTGAGCTGTTGTGACTCAGTTCAGATCACTGGGATCGTCACACTGCCAGTGATGTTGCTATTGTTCAAGGACACTGAAGAATTCACATGAAAACACATGATAATATAAGACAACTGTGAGGTAGTCAGACTGAACCCTACTGGTAATTGTTTCAATGTAACACTAAGCAGAAAAGTACCAAGAAAAACGCTCAGCAGTCACTACTTTGCTCACCTTTCTGGCATTTTCATTCCTCTGTTCTACCGTTGCAAGTCTCATTTCCAATATCCATTATCCTCACACTGCAACAGAAAGTAAAAGAGCCTTGTTTCTGGGAAATTAGTCTTATTTTTGTCTAAAAAGATTTTTTTTTCTTTTTAAGCATGTAAAGTGTTCTGGTTTTTGTCCTAATACGATATTAAATCTAATATTGAGCTGGATTTAACCAGTGACAATAATGATTTGCATCATATCCCAGCAGAGGAACAAGATTACTGACCTTATTGTAAGAGTAAGACCACTCGCACAAGCTGTTTAGTTTTTCATTGTTTTGATAAGAAATGATAAAAATAAGAATATATCTGGTGCCTTCATTTAAGACAAAGTCACTTATTTTTTATTATGCTGTTTAAAGAAATTCTGTCTTATTGTAAGATTTAAGTCTGTCTTAAATAACTGAGTTTTCATTGCTTGTAATAAGCAGAACTTGCTAGTTTTACAGTCTTTCAGTGGCTAGATCTTCAGGCTAGTTTGAATAATTCTAGACAAGCAAAATGGTCTTACCCCATTGGCATATTTATGTGTGTCATACCTGAAACTACTACAGTCAAAGAGGCATCACAAGTTATAATAATTGACAGACATTTGCTAGCTCTAGATAAATATCAGATACCAAATCTTTAACCTAAAATGCTATTTTATTGAGCACATGCACCTTCTCTCTATCACAAACTGGGTTGGATGAGTCAGGTTAAATAACACAGCAGGTTAAGGATTGTGTTAAAAGGGAAGAGAACTCAGAGTCATACAGTGGTGACTCTGAGTTTATTAACAGTGATATAAACTATGAACGTTTGTCCAAGAGACCGAATATACAAGCAAAGAGTGATCAGCCTGTGTGACCTTGTGCAGCTCACAGAATACTGTAACCAAACTGTGCCAAAGAGGCCATCAGCTGGTTAATCAGTGAGAGAATCAACATCACAGCCTGCGGCCGGTAGCTCTGCACAGCGAACACCAAGTAGAAACACACAGCTGGGAGGTCTGGGAAGTGTCTAAGATACTCAGGATATACAGAGTGAGCTGGAACTGTGGGTCAACTTTCATCTGTAGTCCTGAAGTGCACACATTAAGATACACTTGGCTTTACCATGACAGTAAGTCACATTAAAGTGAGCCCCCACTTTAGCTGAAAAGCACTGTGGCCAAAAGTCGCAATTACAGGATAATGAGTCCTAAAACGTAGCCTAGTAGTAACACAAGTGAGGAGTAATAAAGTGGGTGAATTGGATTGGATATTACTTTAACTTCTCTTTTGTAAGAGACAATTTGTGTAAGCTTTATTTCCATCCAAATGTATCACACATTTTAATTAAATTTCAATTAAAATTGGTAAAAGAAAATGCGAATGAATGCTTGGTTTTATCCACTATCGTTATAGCGTTATTAGGAGTGGGTTGTCAAGATAAGCCAATTCTCCAGTCAGAAAACCAGAAGAAGAGGGCACAACAAGATGATGTAATGAAAACATTGCAAGTCAAACTCATTGACAGTATATATAATGGACAGAGCTTCCAGGTCTGAAAAGTGAAGCCATATCAGAAAGTGTCTTAAACCTGCATTCTGTGTAAAGACTTCTCACTTGATTTATGAGCTCAGTAAACAATTTGATAATGGGTTTATGGTCTCAATCGCTAGTTTCAGTCTTCTTCCATACAGCATGATGTTCATTTAATAACTGATGGTCCCATTTAGAGTAAAACAGACCATAAAACAACATGGCGGCGGACATAATGCCAAACTTGAAAAGAAAGAAACTTGAAGAGATATGTTAATGATTTAAAACAACTGAATGTTATATTAGTGATTGCAGTTTTAAGTTAGTAATAAAGAATTAGCAACAGGTTATATATACAGATACGACATGACACTGGACTGCTCTGAATGGGGACGGACACTGTTCACAATCTCACAGGAAATGTAGGATGATAACTTGATTAGCAGAAGACTATAAATAAGGATGTACTGCGTTACTCTTGTGCTCAGCTGTTACATGATACAAGATGCTGTTTAAGTCATCTCCAGTGTTTTTATGTTACCAATTAGCAAAACGTTGATATGGCTGAAACTGGGAACCTCGAAGGAACCAAAACCAGAGCAGTTCTCAACCATTGTTCAACTTTGTGTTTTACTACAACACACTCCTTTTACAATATAAAGTCAATGACATACTGTGACATTAAGAAACTTAACACATGGCTTCTTAAACCATCCCAACCTCCCACTGCCTCAGTTCTGCTGAGCTGAAATAAATCCTGCAGAATGGACACAACATTTCCGAAGGCTTAGATGACACGTTCCTGGTGTAAAGGAGCTGGCGGTGGGAGTCGTCAAGGATCTCCAGGGGCAGAATTCATGACACCACGGTGAAACATTAAGAGCGGGGGATTTATTTCCAGCTGGTCTCCCTCCTTCATGCTAGAAACATCAGGACAGAAAGCCAACAAAAGTGACTTCAGCACCTGGAAGTCGCGCTAAAAACCCGCTGTAGAAACAGAGAATTCATGCCACGACTTTCCTGGCAACCCGCTTGGTTGTGAAATTTTGTCATGGCATCAGATTAGTTTGAGCAACTAAAGCTGGCAGTTACATGTCATGTGACCACTCTCAAGGCTTGCAGAGGAAGGGTAAGTATAGAAACATCGAGCAAGACCAAGAAGGGCGGATGTACTCGTCTGCCAAGTGTCAATCCAGTTCCACCATGTTCTTCCATCTCACACCTTCAAAGTGGAGCAGCTCATTAGAATCTGACCTTTGAACAGAATGAGACATCTGATTAGAGGATACAGTTGGAAGATTAATGTTTATTTCCGATGTCTTAGGCCTCAATTTAAAGTCAGCTGTACCCCTCCAACCTCTGTATAGTATATTTATTTTAGGAGTGCTCCTTTTGCTTGACATATACTGTATTAACACATAAAAAA